CTTGTAGATTTCATCCCTGAACTTTCCAAGTCGAACCTTGTGTCTTCTGACAAGGACGCGCTCGCGCCAGTCCGCCGAAGAAGTGCGTTGGAAGCGAGCTAAGCTCCGTATTAATAGTTGTCATTTGAAATTCGTCTCATGTGAAACACTAGGATTTTAATTCAAAGTCAGATTATCTGAATTTTTCCGTCGAATCGTATAATATATTTGACATGATTCGTAATTAATAGTTGTTACTTAAAACTTATCTCAAATAAGATATTTAAATTTTAATTTAAAGTTAGATGTTAGTTTTTTAGATGAATAGCATTTATAATATAATTTCAAATATACAATTCAACTATAAAGCTCAAATTTAACTTTAAAATTAAAATCTGAGTATCTTACATAAGAGTTTCAAGCGACGGTTATTATATTGAAGAAAAAAAGTAGTTGAATCAACGAAATTTTGCTTAAATCAACACAATTTCTTCAAGCGCAACGTTTAGTCCGTTTAACAAATTATATAATTTCTGTAATGAGTTATCAATTTATTTAATGATTGCGATTTGGTCAGCAATTATATCAATTATATTGCGGCAACGCGTAATTTGTTCAGTGGACAAAGTATATTTTATGAAAGGTGACCGCCGATTCTATAGATTCAACCGCTTTCTTCTCAGCGTAACGCAAACCTATGTCTATAAACACTATTCAACTGAAAAACTCACACCTAACTCTGAATTCAAATCTGAGTATTCCATTTGAGACAAGCCGAGTCGAAATTTTCAATTCTATACTAAGTCTTCAATTGAAGAAAGCCGCAATAGGAGCGAAGGAGCACAACAGAAGCGCGATAGAACCTTTTGACAAGTTAATATAGAACTAAATTCGGCTTAAACTAGGACTAAAATTTCGACTGGGTAAGTCAGTAAGAATTATCAATACAGACTTAAGTGTCAGGACCAACAAACCTCAATAACGAAACGTACGCGGAGGTTGCCACTGAAAGTCCGATAATCCCCGTTTCCTCCCCCAACCAGTCCCTTCCAGTCCGAAGCCCACCGACCACATTCGGACACTTTGTCTCGCGGGGAAAAAAACCGTTTCCGTTCTCCGCGAGGAAACGCATGGAACGAGCGACTCGGTCCAGCAAAACCGCTCCGACTACCGAACACCCTGTATATAGCTAGGCCGAGCACCACGACGCCTTAAGGGGTTAACGAACGTGCGGCGAGGTACGGAACGACGGACACCTCCGTGGCTCACCCTGCCCAGAGAAGGGACGATAAAGTCACCGTTTCGCGTTCCTCCCCGCACAGCCGCGCCGCGCCGCGCGGTTGCGATCCTAACGGTTCCCTGCGCGCGGTTCACGCAAACGTGAACGTTCTCCGGGCTATCTCCTCGCGAGCGCGCGCGAAGGAAGAAGATCGGAACATGCGAGGAGCAAAGGAGCTCGCAGGAAAGGAAGAAAAACGGCCGGAAGGTCGGAGGTGGACGCGAGTGCGCTCACTCCTCCGCCTTTCTATCTCTCTCCTCCCCCTCCCCCCCCCCGGATTCTTCCCTTCTATCTCCTCCTCCGGGAGATGAGTCTGATTTATCTATCAGACGGCTGAGGGATATTTCCTTCGTTCGCTGGTAAATTGCATTTTTCTCCATCAAGTTAATAAAGTTAATAGAGGGAAGACATTCAGCGGAGTGAGCGTGGGAAAAAAAAAAGGGAACGCGCGGTTTTCCCCGCCCTTTATCGCCGGTGTTCTGAAATACTCGCGGCGGGTACACGGTCTCAGGAAAGAGGAGGCTGTCCCCGGCGTATAAGCGCGCTACCTAAGAAGAAAATAATGATTTTAGCCGAGTGCGCGCGATCGCTCACGACTTAATTACGAGCGCGCGCGTGAGACCGCTGCTGCTCGTCGTCGTCGACGATCCGTCCCGATCGAGAGACGCGCCAGCCGCTCGGCGGGCAATTGGATCGCGCGATAGTGAAAGTGTACGCGGAAAGGAACAAAGAAAGGTGGAAAAGAAGCGGAGCGAGCGGCCGCGACGGGCCTTTAGGTGGATGAAAGTTATCGGAGAAAGCCAATTGGCACGGTCGATCTCGCGAACGAGCGAACACGCGCGCTCACTGCAGCTCTCGCTGTGCGCGCTGCTCGTGTTGCACCGCTCGCGCGCACGAGTGCTCGTGTGCGAGCGCGGTGCACACGGAGAAAATAAGTGCACTCGCCGCCGCCGTTGCAGCGCCGAGGCTTTACGTAACTCCGCGGCGTTCCTCTTTCCGCGCGACGACGACGCCGCCGCCAGGGCCGAACCTACCGAGGCGCGCGGACGCGCGGAAAAATCACGGCCGTTCTTCGGAAACTCGAAATTCTATTATTTCGCTTCCCGACCGAGGATCGGCAGACCCGAGAGATATTAATGGAAGGTCCCCGCTCGGGAATGAGAGCGAGTTGTCGGCACTGTATGCGCGAAAAATCGCGCGAGTTTCGATTGGACGAAGCGATACGCGACGAAGCAAAAACTTGAAATGAGCCTCGGTTTTATTCGATCTCGGCGAGTGACGCCCCCCCCCTTCCCCCGGCTTCGGGAGATGCATTCCGCGCTGGCTATCTAATGCGGTTACGTTTTTTCCGGCCGTACGTTACATTTACGAAGATCCGATTGATTTACGTCGCGAAAAAAGAGAAGTTAGCAACACCGCGTATATAGCTACGGCCACGACGGCGGGGTTAATGAAGCTCTCGTGGCCGCGTAAAGTCTCGTCGTCACGGCGGCAAAAAGGAGCAAGAACTAGAGGAACGAGCGACGCGCGCGATGCTATCGGCTCCGCCGCTCCTCGCGCGCAAGGATGAACGATGATTTGTCGAGCGAGTCCACGAGACACGAGAGAGCCGCATAAATTCTTATTAGCGCGATGTTACGGCGGCTCGTAAAAATCCACCGGCGCAATCTGGCTGGCTTAAGACCGCGGACGCTTCCGATATACCCCGATACTATCGAAGTGCGACTACTCATGGCGTAGTTGTTCGTACTATCGTATCGTTGTCACGATACAAATAATTGTTAGAACAGGTGCACGGAAAAAGGAAAGTTTACTTGTATCAGCCGGAAAGGGAACGGCTATAAGAAGCATAGAGTGGTTTGAGTCAGAAGTAACAACCAGAAATTCTGTTTCCTTCAACCAGAACGCATCTGGTTGTTTCCTTTCTGATTAATGCAACCAGATTTTTTCCCGTATAATATTATGGCCCCCCTATCTTGTGCAATATCTTTGTCAACAATCAATATTTAATTAAATCGAGAACTGAACGATCACATTCGTCAAAGTATCGTTTAATCGATTCTAAACCTAAAGTTATGTAATATTTATTAATTAGGATGTTATTTATAAAAATGTGGCGATACTACATAGTGAGTTGAAGAAAAACAGGAGTGGTGATGTGAGCTTCGACTATACGGGGAAAATATTACGATAAGAGTTACTACAAAAGTTTGCAACGCAGGAATATAGCGGAATTATTATCGGAATTATTGTGTGTGTAGTAATCTTTAGTGATGTGCGTACACGCGATATATGTCACAGAAGATTACGAACTACGTAATAATTTCGATAATAATTCCGATATATTCCACCATTACAAGCTTCTGTAGTAATTTTTACTACAATATTTTTTCCGTGAAAAATAGATTTAAGAAAATTGGTTTTGTTTAAAATAACGCAAAATTTGTTTTGTTACAACATTACATAGGTATTCGAAATAAACTGTTGGAAGGAGTAACAATTAGTATAACCGTGAATTTTTAATGTAGGTATTGACTTGTTTGTCAGAAGATACAATCTGTCAAAATAACAGTAGTGCAGTGCAAAATAAAAATACAATAGTGAAGTATAGATTAGGGACGACTCATCGAATAACTACTTCGATGTGAAAACCTTGAAACAGAAGTCGTATTATTAGCACTCGTAGGAGGTCACATTAATACTATTACTTAACTTTACATAACTCGAAGTGTATATAAATGAATGAAATGTTAAGTAACGAGCGTAACACTTAAATATACATATATTCGTGTAATAATACGTTTAAGTGAAAAAATGCGCATAATTAAGTACTAAAATGTACTTTGAAAACGTTTCGAAATGCTCGAAAGTGAAAATACGTTATAAATGCCGGCTATTGTGTATTGACGCTACTACGTAACGGCGGGCTAATAAATAAATGATTCCACAAGTAATCATTAGAACTCGCCACCTAATAATGAAGATATTAAGAGGAACCATTATTACTACTTTTTCCCCTACTATTTTTTGTTGACGCGTGAGTAATAATTATCACCGCGTCCCGGTTGTTTATACCGTAACATTATTATTATTATTATTATTATTATTATTATATTTATTGTTTGTTGCTCGTGGTATATCGAGTGACGAAGTGTGTATTACACTTTGTTTTATATACCGAGTATTTTTAGCATCGACACTTTACTCTCGACAGTCTATAGATATCGATCGCACGTCTCCCCATGTATTTTTAATATTCATAACACGTATTAATTACTTACGTTGCTTCCCGTTGAGTTATTATTACTTTACACACTTTTCTTCACAATTAGTACCACTGACTACACCGGTATTCAATATCGAACGGCGGACGACGACTGTGACGCAGCGCGAGAAGGACGTTCAGTCTTCTGCGGCTGAACTTATCCGCTTTTTACCGCTCGCTCGATTTCACGAGACCGCATTAAAGAACGAGCTGGTGAATTGTAAATAATTAAGTCCGTTGTCATCGGATGCTCGTGAAATTCGATATCTTGACGCCAGTTCAAACATAATAAAGTTTCTCTCTTCCGATCGAATCGTTCTCCGCTAGATTCGTCGGTGTCTGCTCACTTCAAAATCAATTCGTGTAAACGTTTCGCGTACGTGAAACAACGAGCGTTTTCGCCTGACTTTCTGACTGATCTACACGAGATCAAGGCAGTCCTATATTTAAGATGGATATTCTGATGGCCGTTTACAGAACCTGTGCCCAGTACAAGACGTGGCAGACGGAGCCTGGGGCAGAAGAATGTTCTCTCGAAAATGCAAAGGACCCTCGGCCCGTTAGGAATGCTCTACAGTTGCATGGAGAACAAGAACCGGGTTAGGGTAGGTCCGACTGATTTTACTCTAAGTGTCGATCGACACTTAGCCTCTCGTTAAAACCTCGAACCCCGGATTTCGAGCGGAGTCGCGAGTCACCGCACGGAGAAAAATAATTTCCTGGCACGGCAAATTTTATGTTGCCGCGGCAAGACCCGTCAGTTACTATATGGACAGCGAAACGATTTGTTAAGAATACTAATCGCCATTCGTTGGATTAATTTATTGAATCTACAAGTTATTTTGCTGTATGAGCAAATTAATACTAATAAAATAAATGTAGGGAAAACACTATTTTGTTCTAACAATAAGTTAACGTGTCCTAAAAAATTCATTCGAATTAATCGTAATTTATTGCTTGATCGAGCAGAATTTTTCTATCCTGGTAACTAAACTATTTCTGCTCTAATTACGAGTAATTCGCCAATTTATCTCGAATTGTTAAATAACGTTTGTTTTTACGTCAATTAAATTTTATCGTTGTCGCAACGAATACGCGGTTACGACGATGTAGTTTCGCTACAATAACGAAATTATTTTTCCCCAGGCACACGAGAATCACGACACGATGACATTTTTATATATGCATGTAATTTATAAAATGTATCAAACAAGTCTCTATAATTACCTCTCACTGAAAGGTGATTATAAACTTGCGATTATATACCTGAAAACACCTCGAAATCGCAAGGTCTTCACGAAAGAGAAAGAAAGATGCACACGAACACTCCCAGATATTTTATTATCATATTTGTTAGAAAGTATAGAGCGATACGCGCGGTGCACTACCTCGTTTGATAGAGGAACTGTGAAAGTCGCGCGGTAATTCACCAATTAATGATAATTAATTTAATTGCGTATTTAAAATCGCTTTAGAAATTGGCATTTCCTATTCTCCTTCCGTTGTTTTTCTTTTCTTTTCTTTTCTTTTTTTTTTTGCATTTCCTACAGAGATACACGTTCACGATACGAGACTTTCGAGGTGGATGACTTTCCGTTGCAATTTTTTCGACGAGGGATGACTCCTACCTAACCCCATACGTCGCCTTCGCCAACGACGTAGAAGCAGTTCTTAAAACGGCACTTCGTCCGCCCACGCTCCCGCCGTTTTCCCCTCCCGCTTCCCGCGACCTCTGGCATTGTGCGTGCACGCACACGCGGCTGACACACTTTCGCGGCCGAGTGACACGTGCGCGAGCCCTTCGGAGGTGTCCGGAGGGCGGCGGCGAGCCCTCCTCCCTTCGCCTAGAGCCGCGAGACTAGGGAAGAAGAAAGAACGCGCTCGGGTCAACACTCGTAACCATGACGACCACCGAGCGTGGCGTTCGTTCTTCGCCACTTCTGCCTACGCTACTCTACGTCCCTGACGTACCGTCGTCGCGCGAGAAACGAAGGCGGGACGAAATCGCGTCCGAAAAGGGTCGCGGCGTCGTCTGTCCTCGAGAAGCGTCTCCCCCTTCGAGAGGGCCTGCGGGGTAAACCTTTCCCGCAGAGCGGAATTCAAAACACGAGAATTTTCAATGTTTCTCCCCGGCAAAAATTACGTCAAAAACCAAGTATCTTATTATTTGTATATATTTATATTATTAAAGCAAGCATTTTATTACTTATTTGTTATTGTTTATATTATTATTTATTTACTTTATTATTTTACTTTTTTTATTTCATTCTTTTCACCTCCCGAAATTTCGCGATCACGCGCTGTATAATATTTACTTGATCCAAATAAAATATTTTCCTAATAAATTATCCAAGTAAAATTTACCAAGGAGTATTGGAGTAATAACTTGAATCTAATACTTTTTTTGTATAGCGACTCGAAAATCCATGATTTTCGAGAATTCGGTGGTCTCTGGACGATGCGCGACAGATGCGCGTATTATTCAGCGGTGCGATTCCGTGTTTGCGACACGGCGCGACGCATCGCAACGCACAATTAATCCGGAAGCGAACGCGCGTCGTCGTCGCGTGGAAAGTTGTAAGGATCGCGACCGTCGCGGCGGTGCGCTCAGCACGCTGATAAATCATCATACTTATCTAATCGCGCCCGATGATTTCTCGCGGCGCTGCACGCCTAATGATCGCCGCCTCGCGCCAGCTTAAGGCCGGTTAATAATAGGACAATAAGACGCCGTAATGGAAAATAAAAGTCAAATTGATTTAATTGGGCTTCCTGCGGAAGCGCAGTTCTATACGCGCCGGTCGGATGTATATCTCAACGAGGAGAATGGAGTTTCTGATTAGCCTCCTTCCGGGCACCGAAACCGAACTTAAACTAATTGCGTTTGTTAACTTTCATCGTCGTCGTCGGCGACGGCGGCAACAGTGTCGTCGCCGCTTCTTCAAGGCTCATCTCCTGTCTTTCGAGTCGCCGTCCTCGCCGGCAGATCCTAATCTCTCGCGACCTTCGAACGCATCCGGAAAGAAGATTTTATCTCGGCGGATCGATAGGTCGGCCTTCGACCGATCAAATTGCCGAGGAAAGCAAGCGGTCTTTTCTTATTAATTATCATCGAGTCATTACGCATTGAATAGGCAGAAGTGCGTCGCGAGAAACTCGCGAAGCAAATTCGATCCTGCCGACTGGACAACTGAGGAACTGTTTGGAAAAGACTTGTTTCTTCTTAAAGGGATTTTAAATATGATACGTAAACGAAAGAGAGAGAGAGAGAGAGAGAGAGAGAGAGAGAGAGAATACACACATGTATGCAAGATAACGTTATTATGCACGAAGAATCTGAGTTCGTGCTTAGAATACGTTTATTTTGTAGCTGTAGGTATGAATATAAAAGAGTTTTTTCATCTTCTGCAAGTCACACCTAGTCGACTAAGATTTTTTTTAGTGATAAATCGCTCGATTGCGCGAATTTCACAATCTCGGATTTCAATATTCTCATATTAGCATTCTCGCGATGTTTGCGCTGCGAAAAACCCGACAGAAAAGAGATTACATTCGCATTGTTCATTCTTCGACACGTGCGTGACACAGTGCGTGGCCGCTTTTGCCTCGGAAAATACATTGCAGATTGATAGGCGGAATCGCTAAGTCAGACGAGGAGCCGACTCGATCGAATTGTAACCTCGAGCACTTCCGAAGTTTTCCGGTCTAATTGAATTCACTCCTCGCCTCGAGACCGGAGGTTTCCGCCGAATTGCCCTCGATATCTCATTACCGCGCGACGCGACGGCCTCTCGTGTTCCAATCGCGACGAAATCCTTGGATTCGCGCGATCCGGACAATTCAGCGCGACGAAATAAACTTTACATAGTATTTTTTTATAGAATTAACAAATTGTCTTCGGAAAAGTAAATATTCATATCGTAACTTTGAAGCGTTCGCTCGGACGTGTTTCGTCAGCCGTGTTCCGTTCCGCGTTTCCTCATTTTTCCCTTAGTCATTCAAAACCTGATGATGAGCATCTCGTCACGTTGATGAAAATTAATGGAAACCGATAAAAATTATCAAGCGAGATATAAAAGATCGATGCGAGAAAGGGAGAGGGAAAGGGGATAGTTTTATTATCCCGTGGAATACAAATATCCTCTTAGGCATACGTAAAGCTATTTCGGCTAAAAAACCAGTGCAGAACTGCACTCAGAAAAAAACCACAGCCACATAACACAGTAAGTAAGAAATGTAATAAAGAAAAGTAATCATATACTAACAGTAGACAATAATAAATAGTAAATAAAGCTTTATAGAACGGGAAACTTATAATAGCAGTAAAGCAATAGCAAAAGAAAGGTAATAATATATACTCTAATAATAGGTGATAGTAGATAAACTCTATTAGAAGCGAAATCTACCGCGGCAGCAAAGCGAAAGTTAAAAGAACAAAGAAAAAATGCTCAGAAATTATGAAAGAAAGATAAATTAATTATTGATTAATACAGTGAAGTCCGGCATATTATACCTTCCGCTCTCCGATTCGCGGAAAAAGAAAAAAAAATATAGGTTAAATGAGAGAAAATAATATTAACAAAAGAAAAGAGAGCTAATAGATCTGATAGCACAAGACGCGATGTACATATATAAGAGTATATGGATAGTAATGCATTGATACGTAATCTGATTACAATTACAAATTCTCCAGCGCAACATTGTAAGGTTTAGAGCATAAAAACGAAAACAAAAATAATTAAAATAATATATACGCATATACACATATATAATTATTATTAATATAAAGCCACCTGCAGCCTGTCTTTCGAAATTTAATAGACAATTAAAAAAGATGCATTTAAATCGTTCTGATCGCAGTGACATTAATTCCTCCGATAATGAATTCCATATGTAAGCAACCCGTACTGCAAAAGATCGTTTGTAAGTTTCTGTTTCTACAAGTAGGAACGACAACTCTATTCTTAATAACACGCGTAGTTCTGACAGGAGGCAATGGCAAGGTAAACACTTTATCTAAATAAATAAATAAAGACAGAGAGGGAGGGAGAAAGAGAGAGAGAGAGAGAGAGAGCCGAGCCGTTTCGAGTCGATTCGAGAAAGCGAGCGAAATGACTCCATCAGCTTGTCTATCATTCATAAGAGTGCAGGAACACACGGAAGGGTTAATGCGCGAGCTCTGTCGCCGCGGAACGACAAGCAACGGATTCCTCTCGTCGACGACGGCGACGACGGTCTTGAGCACTCCTCAGAATCGATTCCAGCTAATTCGCGGACGTCGTCGGCGCTCAATGACACACGAGCACAGTCCGAGGCTCGCAATTAGTTTCCATCGCTTCCAAGCAGGCCTGTGTGCACACGCGTGTATATTTCTGTCTGCGCGCCGCGCGGAAGGCATTGAAGGGGGCCTTGCCTAGTCGGCCTGCACTCACTTCCGCGTATCAGGCCGCTATCTTGTCTCCCGCGGCCGTTTATCTGTGCGACAAACAACGAGTTTTCTCGCGTACCGCGAGCCCTCATCCGACCCGCCCGCGCGCGCCGTCATTAATGCAATTATTCTTCGAAGTACCATGCCGGGCCCGCAACCGCTCGCCGTATGCTTTCTCCGCCGAGCGAATGCATCGCGGTTCTCTAATTCGTTGTCCCGTTACGCGGCTCCCTTACGTGCGCGAGTCTCGATTCAGTCCGAAGGAACGAGAGAGAGAGAGAGAGAAATGGTCGAACGCTAAATTTCTAGGACGACACCCGAGTGGAAATGTGTGTGTTTAATTCTACAACATAGTAGGAAAAGAGAAGATAGCGAAATGATTTCAATTTCAATTCTAATGTTAAGATATAACTCTCACTTTGACCTTGATGATGTCTGAAATTTCCGTTTCCGTTTTCGTTTTAACGTCAAAATGGATCGTTGAAGGTAACGTTAAAATTCAATCTGTAGAATTAAAGGTTCAAGAGAAAAATAAAAAATCATAATCGTCAATATCGTGAAAACGGGTATTTCTTAACCTACAGACCGTCTAAATAGGCGCAAATTATCCTTAAAAGCGTCAGAGTAGCGGCAAAGTTTCGAGTCAGGCGCTCGATAAATCACCGTTAACTCGGTAAATTCGGCGGGATGATGTGGTTCTATGAATTTAATGGCTAATCATATCTATCTACGAACGACTAAGAGCGACGTTAATTATACTCGTAACACACAACCGGATTACGATTATATAATTAGTATAATTAATCTGTAATACGCATGTTCTATGTATATTATGTATGCGATGTACGCTATATGGAAGATGAAAAAATTGTCTGCAGTTTTTGTATGTAGTTGTTTACAACTCGCATGATACACCGGCGGATATAAATATTCGTCGCGGAGTTACAACGCTGCGGCTCGACCAATCAGGCTTATAACGCTGCGGCTCGACCAATCAGGCTCTTTCATGGAATTTTCTGTAATGATCGTTCAAGCAAATAAACGCGTCGTTCACGAGTTCTGTGTTACATATTGCGTTGCACACATAAAGTCGAGAATCGCATGAGTAATAATTATTTACTTATAATAATAAGGTTGTAATTATGTCTAATTATAACGGTTTCGACACCTTATGTGTACACGCGTAAGTGTGTAAATCACGTAATTTTCTATCTAGAGAATAAAACATATATGACGGCGTGTGTACTCTAAAAAAAAGGGGGTTCCGCTCGAGTAATTACTTCATCCAAGTAAAATGGTTAATCCTGTNCATGACGGCGTGTGTACTCTAAAAAAAAAGGGGTTCCGCTCGAGTAATTACTTCATCCAAGTAAAATGGTTAATCCTGTATTCCTTGGCAATTATTTACTATAAGTCGAAATATAATGGACTATATACAATATGATATTTCCTTCGTATAAGTAGATATGTATTTATTTTTAGAAAAATATTTACACTGGACTGAGAAAAATCGAAATTTAAAACCACTAAGTTTCTCTTCAATGGAAAAGAAATATTACATAATTCTAGTAAATACTATGTATATTAATTTGGACGATAGGTCAATATTCGAACCAGGTCCGAGTGAAGAGAAGGAGAATGGCGAACACGTCGAGTAAAATCGCGCAAACACTCTTTGCGTTTTCGCTTGTCACTGATAAAAAACGTTCGCTTCACTTTTATCCACTTTGATTCGCCATTTCTGCACTTCGCGCCGAGTTCCGAGCAATCATCGAAAGTGAAGAGAGAATGAGCGTCTCTCTCTCTCTCTCTCTCTCTCTCTTTTTGCTCTAGGTTAGCGCGAATTTACCTGGAAGAGACGAGTCGCCGCGTAACACAGCGAGACTCGTTGCGATCTAAAAGGAATAATCGAGCATTCTTTGTGTCGAAGGTCTACACTAGAAACGCGCGCAACATAAGGGGACACATAGAGGCATACGTGGCTGCCTTCGACAAGCATTGGAACCTCGCGCTGGAAGACTGCTACGAGGTCTGGAGTCGCAAAGTCAAGAGGAAAGCGCCTGCCCTCGGTATGATCATCTCGCTATTAAAGAATATTCTCACTTGGAACATTTTGTTCGGTAGATGACTTCGGATTTTCTTTTAACTTTAAGACATACAATTCTGAAGTTTTGCATAAATATTGATCTATGCTTTAACTATATGTTGTATAATTTCTTTAAATTATAACATATTGTTATATTCAATTTTAAATAAACTAATATATAACCAAAAATATTTATAACTTTATTAATATTGAGGATGATAATGTATAGAAATTACTATGTATAGTTCAAATTTAGATAAATATAATTTCAGAATTGTATGTCTTACAGTAAAACAAAAATTCCATATACCATCTACAAAACGATATTTTAAGTGAAAATATCCTCTTAAGTCTTGAGCGCAACGCGCCATAAAAGGCTCGTCATAATAACGCGGAACGTTTACTCCTCTCTGATTAATTTAGACAGTTGATATTTCCTTATAAAAAAGAAAATATGTCAAAAGATCGACAACTCGGCAGTTACGTGTGATTTACGAGATCGTTCGGAGGCTTTCGTTTGATTGAACTGCAAGTGAACGAGATCTGTTTTCGGTTCTAATTTCGAGCGAACTCTAATTTTTATAATTCAATTATTATTATCATTCTCATTACTATAGTTATATTTGGCGCGTGACGCGCAGTATCGGCTGCAGATTTCTTCTTATCTCATCCGTATTTTATATCGCTCATTATTCCACAATTACTACAGCTTAATACGACGAGCGTGTGCACCGTGAGATCACCTGTAATAATCTCGTTACGTCTCGCATCAATGACGCGCGGAGTGCAACGCCACGTTTCCGTCATTTAACTTCGCGATTGTAGAAACGTAAGGACGACGGAGAAGAGAGCGCTACGGAAAATCAACAGCGGGTATCGAGGTTACACAGAAGAGCGCGGATTACGTTGCAGTTTGTTTCGGTTACGCGCTCGAATTGTTTGTTTCCGTCCCCGGGACACACGAATTATCACGTCCTCTTAGCGTAAATTTTCAGACCCGGAGGAGGCCCGATAGCCTTCGCGTTGTATCTTTTATTCATCCGATACGGAAACTCGTTTCTGCGAGGATTTTCGGGAATGGTGCAGCGATAGAAGCGAGCCTCTGTGAAATTCTCTCAAAATTTACGTGTCAAATCCGATTTGCGGATTAGATCGATCAAATTCGCAAGATACTTCGCGTTTATCACCGATCATAAATCCTCGGCATCGCGATAATCGCTCTCTCTCTCTCTCTCTCTCTCTCTAACGCGGTGTATAAATATAAGTATACAATGATATTGTGGAACACACACAGGCGATAAGCGCCGTTGGCCGCGACTCGAGGCGATCAAAAGGAGTCGACTGATCAATTATCCTCGCTTCCTTGCATGCGTTGCGAGTTTTTGCTTCTCTCTCCTGGCGATACAATATGCCGCGATCAAGCAACCGAGTGATCGTCGAGATGCTAATCGAGTTCTGGCCGATACAAAAAAAGGAAAGAAAAAGAATGCCTTGCGGGAGCCTCAGTAACCTCCGACATTTGCGGCAATAATTCGGATCGCGAGCGACGCAGCCGACCCTGAGGAAAAATTCATACGCGATACGTGTTCCGCGAGGCTGACGCGACACCTTGACGAGGAATTCCGTCCGGAATCGTGAACGTGGCGCGCGTGGCCGCCCTTCCCGAGAAGAATCACTTCCCAGATGGAGGAGGAAGTGCGCGTCGAGGCGCCCTAATAATTATTCCGATCGATAGGCGTTACTTAGAGACCGCGAAATTTCGCCTTCGGCCTCGTCCACACGTCAAAACACGTGTTCCAATTATGAGCGGACGCGCTTTACGATAGTGTTATTTTTAGATTATCGGATCTCGGTATAGCCTGCGCATGCGCGACACTCAATGACACGCTCGGCGTGTTCTAAAAATCGCGAATTCGTCTCTTTAAGTTCGTTGTTTCGCCGTGCCGCCTGCCACCTGGTATCGTCGATACGCGATGACACAAAGAGACAATTTGTCATCGGGTCAGGGCCGTAATAACCGGTGATAGTGATCGTGTCAACGTAAAACTTCGCGCCTTCAAACTCGCTGATACTTTCTGCCCACTTCCTATCGTTCGTCTCGAGCGACAGTCGCTCTTGTTAACGCGCATCTCCGTAGTATGCGCTTATCTCCCGCGCGTGCCTTAAACTTAAGGGATTCGCGAAAATGACGAGTTAATAAAAAAAAAAAAACCAAGTTGTCGCAGAGTTGCCACAGACCTGGAAAACCGGGAAAAGAGGAAATTTAAATTGGTCGAGGAAAGATATAAAAAAGCCTGGAATTTCAAATTTTGTTGCTCATAATTATTCTGAAGAGCATTTATAATCTTATAATTGTTTTTAATATTATATTTAACATTTTATAGTCAAATGCGTTCGAAGCTCGCACAGTTTGCAAATAATTTCTTACGCGTTAGGACCGTGGGCATATAAAAAAAACTTAAGTGATAAGAAAAGTGACCGATCACAGTCGATTATCCCTCGATCGTACCGTCGATTTTAACACTTACACATGTTGAATCGGCTTAACACAAAATACACTAAGATAAACACGATATGTTTAAATTAGCATACAGGTATGTTAGAAATTTGACACAAAAATGTTAACAAGGACCGATTTTAACAAGTACCAAACGTTTTTTTACCATATAAGAAGAATAATTGAATGTGATTAGTCAATTATATTTAGCGTTTCTAGTCAATCGCTTTTTTCCGTCGTGCTGCATTCTCTTCTCCAATAATCACTTATTTTGTATCGGTCTGAATTTGCATTCAGGATTATATTATATTACCAAACTTTTAAGTTTGTGTTGCTTCTAATAATATAAGCTACCCTCCCCGCAATCTAATAATATAAGCTACCCTTCCTGCTTCTAAATGTTAAAGTTTAAGATAACATATTGCTCGTGAAAAATCCTCCAACTATCGTCTGGAAACAGATAGATACTAAAAACATGTCAAGGAAAGTCGAGGGATGTCAAAATTCATTTGCTATGGCAATCCTGAAGTTGCAATAATCGAGGCTACTTTCGAATGCAATTACTTTGGAATGCAATTACTTTGGAATGCAACATTTCCGTTTGAAAGAAACCCCCCCCCCCCATAAAATGACTTCGGTTCATCTATCTTCGCGGCACCGGTGCGTTTTCCGCGTTCAATTAAAATCCACGTCTCTTTCCCGTCGGATCGTAAATTCGAGGTTTCCGCCACGTCCGGCCATGAATGACTGCTACTACTCGCGTACATCGTCCGCCTCGCCCCGCTGCCGGCGGCCGCGCGAGAGACGTCGCTATTTTTTCACATAATGAAATTTCCGCGACGAGCGACACGCGATGCATGTCGCGCGAAAGTCGGCTGGCGACTTTTTCCGCCAGATGGTTTCGGGATAATGGATTATTCATCGTTATCGGTCACTGATCGATTCGGTCGCTTGCAATTTCGATCGAAAGGTCAGCGTTCAGATTCGTGGCGCACCATCGCGACGATGAGCGTGTACGCATCACCGATCACGGCGATTAATAAAACGCGGGCTCCTCGCAGTTTTATTGACAGAGGATAATCCCCGACGCGAAGAAGCGACTTAAGTTGTAACGATCTCACTGACGTGTCGTGTAGCTCCTTTAACAGTAGCTTCCCGGTATCGAGAGAAAAAGAGAGAGAGAGAGAGAGAGGACGAGGAACGAGCGAGCAAAGATAGGCGGAGAGAAAGTGCGGCTGTGAAGAAGAGAACCACACCGGGGCGCCGCATCGCGGAAGCGAGGGATTCAAGTTTCCATTCCTCCGGTCCAGCGGACCGAGGATCGGCGCCACTCTTTCGCACCCGCGCCCCTCGATCATCGTTAAGAGAAAAAACGCCTTCGTCACCGGAGCAAAAACTGATTCACTTTTAATCCGCGGGATACCCCCCCTCCCCCATTCCTCCCTGGCTACGAATCGATAGGGTTTAACGAACTCGCCTCGGGGAGTGAATGTGCGCGCGCGCGAGCGTGCGTTCTCTCTCTCGCTCCGCTCGTCCTTATTTACAACGCGCGGCGAAAGAAGGGCGGCAAGCAGGCAGGCAGGCAACGTGGAAGAGCAGAGAGGAAGGGTCGTCGCGCGAAAGGGGGATAATACATCCCACTAAGGTCGCCGCTTCGCGGCAGGAGCAAGGACCGACCTTGACTACGTGTAGTGGTCGTCGCGCGAACGCGTTCGATACGCGTTCGAGGAGAGCCCGTCCGTCCGTCTGTCTGTCTGTCCGTCCGTCCGTCCGTCCGTCCGTCCGTGTGGCCCCTCACGTGTGCTCTTCCTCGCTCATTTCTTCTCTCTCCTCTCTCTATCCGCCTCTTTCTGCCGCCGCTCGTGTCCTCCGCATCTCTTTCTCACCCGCACTCTTCTTCCTCCTCGTCGTTGTCGTCATCGTCATCTCTATTCCGTCGAAGACCTCCTCCTCCGCATCCACCTTCCCTCCCACCCCCTCGTTCCGCGCGTTTCCCCTATGTTCCGTATCTCCCCTCGGCCTCTCCGGCCACGATTTTCCTCTCCGACGCTACTCGCGCGCATCGTCCTTCCTTTCCTCCTTCCTTCGTTCACGTGCCCTCCAACCTTCGCCTCTCGTTTTCATTCATCCGCACCGGCCGTGTCGAACACGCGAGAGCCCGAGAGAGCGGCGTGGTCGACGAACCCGCGGGTTTTGCATCTCGCGACTACGTAGGCCGTTGTTCGCCGTTTTTAGGTGACGCGGGACCAACCGAGGAGGGAAAGCGACCGACGCGCGATGAAACGACCGACGAGTCGATGTTCTCTCGCGCGAAATTGCGAGAGGGGAAATTTTCATTCTTTCATCTCATCTCGTGTCTTGGAAGTTGACGGGGTAAAAAAGTATGATTTCGCTAGTTATGAAATGTCTGCGATTCAATTCGCAAAGAGACAATCTCAATTTCCAGTCGCTCATGAATCGAAAATGATCAACGCGTTAACAGTGTTCTCGACAGTTTCCCGCTGAGGCAGGATCGATTCTAATCGGGTGAAAAAGCGTTGATTAAATTGTACGTCGGATCTTTCCGAGATTTCACGCACCTCCGTGAAGATTGAGATGGAGAATCTTCCTTACGATTAGCAATCCTCGGGGTTACATGTCGCGCGCGAGTTTTGTCGGCGACCTTTTCGCCGGAATCGTCTGCGTTAATTTACCGCATGTCCAACTGACGTCGCTCGTAATCTCGCGATTTCAGCCAGACGTACCGATGTCTGTCGGTCTGTCTGTCTATGTGTATACAAGTGCGCTCGAGCGATCGACGCGCGCGTTTCACGTCCCGAAGTTCACGAGGTCTCGGAAGCCCCCCCGCGATTCGATCGGTCGGTCGGTCGGTCGTGCGTGTGTTGATTATTACGTCAGCAGGAAACGCGAAAGTCTCGAGTCGCGAGAGAATTCGACGGAGGAGGTCTTCGCGGTTCAGATTCGAACGATCATTATCGATCTCGCTTATCGCGCGCTAACGATCGGTAACATGCGCGATTAATCAGTCGAGTAGTCGCTCGTTGTTTTTCCGGCAACGCGAAAGATAAACGGCCCCTCCGGGAACAACAACGCGCGTATAAACATTGTTTCCGAAAATATATATTTGCTCGCTCACTCCTCGTAATAAAATAAAAATTTACGAGCGCGTTCGAGCTTACAAACATCGCGCGTGTATATTACATTTTCAATTTATTAGCTCGGCAAAGAGAACGGACTGCCGTAAAAAATTTCATTAAGCTCTCGATGCCACGGAGAAGATGTGCACGATCGTTATTGAAAAGGAAAGGAAAACGCATCAAAGTCGAGAAAGTTACGGGAGTACGCTCTCATTTATACCATTTTGCGTCTGAAGCTTCATCTCGCTATTAATCACAGTGACGTCTTCTATGCGCCACGGGATCCAAGGAAGAGACCGCGCGATACCTGCTGCGGACTAATTCACTTCTTTATTTACAATTTACGAAAACCGTTTCTCAAAGAGGTTAATGAAGCCCTGCGAAGGCGTTGCGAAGCAACGCGCGAAACACGTGGCAGAAAGAGAGAGAGATGGAGGAGGGGGGAGCTACTTTCTACGTCGTCGTTTATGGCGGTGTAAAAAGGGACGCCCTGGGCGGCGTTCTTCTCTCTCTCTCTCTCTCTCTCTCTGCCCCTTTCCCTACCTCTTCCCTGCCTCTCTTTCTCTTTCGGTACGCCGAGTTCAGGGTTAGTTGGCCTACTGACGTACTTCGGGACGTATCGCGAGGGGTCGCGAGGTCGTTGATACGAGGCCGGGGGGGGAGGGTGGAGGGCCGTCGAGCGACCTTGAAGAACAGCCCACAGGATCGATGCCTGGCCGTGTACACGTGTCCTGTTGGCTCCTCGTGCTGCCTTTCCGCCGTTGCCATCCCCCACCGTCCCTCCCCCACCCCCTTGTATTCTTGGCCTCCACAGTTGTACGGACACGTGCTGGCACATAAACAACCTCCTCCTCCTCCAGCACCTTCCCCTCCCCCGCGAGCTCGGCGAGCTCGAACTTTTCTCCCCTCCGTTGTTTATTCACACCATCGAACGTACTTCCGGTAACTTCCGCTACCGAGCGTTTTCGCCGTGTCGAAAAAAAAAAGTGTGAAAGTTTTATCGAGATCGTTCGCACTCGGCGCGATACACGTGTTTGTCCGCTCCGTTCGTTCGTTCGTTCGTTCGTTCATTCGTTCGCCGCGAGTCACAGACCGAGAAAGTCCTCATTAAAGTCTGGCCACTGCAAGTTCTGTAATAAAATACCGTCTATCGGATCGTGGAAATGTAATATAAATATGTGCTTAATAAACTAAATTGTACATTGTTTTGAATAAAAAATTAATCTTCTTGGTAAGTGAAAACTATTATATCGTTTCTTGCAATATTAAATTAATCTATAGTAAATTATAAATCGCACACTTCTATTTCGTATTTACAACAGAAACAAACGGATCAAAATTAGAATTCTAACCTTAGAAGGTAATTGACTATAGATATATGATACTAATTGTATGATATTAACTATATAATTATAAATAATTGAAACACAAATATAAATAGGCAGGAGTCAAAATGACTGGAGTCAGAGTCGATTGAAGAAAGTGATTTATAGCAGCAAAGCAATGCATTCGAAACAGTTAATTTATTTAATCCTAATTTTAAAAGGCTTTTCACTTTATAAATTATATTTATAACAATTTATAAACATGTTAATAAACAATTATAACCAATTTATAAACATGTTAATAAAATGAAGTTATTTTTATGATAACCAAACATCTATGATTATAATTATCCTGTTATATATATTACTTCTATTTAAAATTGCCTCATTTTTGTGCTACTTCTTATTGGCTACTTAATTTTAATTACAAAGATTGGCTCAGCCAATACAAACATGGACGGTCAGTGTCCAGACTCTGTTTTCTGGAGACTCTAATACTGACGAGTAATAACGTACTCGGAAACTCTCGTCGTGCTTAAAAATTCCGAGTTACCTCACGATTTCAGTGCGACGCGCTGGGAAAAGTTCGCCTCTCGCGCTGTAACGAATTGCAAATGTTATCAAGTTATCCTCGAGATTACTCGAGACTTTATCAGATTATTCCGAAAGTAATCTCTATTTTTAGGGACCTGTGACAATAAAAAGGGAGACTTTTCTAATATCTTGGCAAAACCGCCGCTGAATCTCACGAAACGGAGAGGAGCTGGCTTTCTCAATCAGCGTCGCCAAGCCGGCACATTTCAGTTGCTTTCGCGTTGTTAAAATACTACAAAATGGACAATCTATCTTCTAGTTGGCGTTTGAGTGAAGGAGATGCGCGTACACACGTGTGTGTGTGTGTGCACGTATATACGTCGTCGGAAAAGGTATCGCAACTACTCGCATCTTTGATTCAGGCGCTGACGCGGTCAAGGTGGAGGCGGCAGAGAACGACGTCCCTAAGGCGGTGGTGAGGAAGATCGAGGGAAAGATGGAGACCTTGGAGAGACACGTGCCGCAGATGCTACTGAGGGGGGAACAGGTCGCTATAATCGTCAAAATCAATTGATTGCGCGCGGTTTACGCGCGCTATCGCCTTAAGGGTCGTTTACAGCACGCCGCCGGATGCAATTCGCGCTTATACAGCCGGCAGTTTTCTCGTCGTTAACTCCCTAACATCGCCTTGTTATTTATTTCTTTGACGGAATTTTATCTTACGCATACACACACACATGAGGAGAACGCGATAAATGTTCAAGGATGAAAATCCCATATTCACGCGCACGCGGGACCTCCTAAAATTGTATAACGAAATTTGATCCGTCGCGACGTGTCCTAAGAAACGTATTAATCATCCCGAAATTATGTACGATACGAAAACACGCGTCGTCACCTGATTACGCGACTGCACCGTCGTGATTTACATAACCAGAATTGTCGCTCGAACGACTCTTTCTTTTAATACACTTGTTTGATAAACATTCTAAATATAAAAAGAAAACATTATCAATGTTGAATCATTCAAAAATACGTAATATACTTCGGTCTGCAACCCCCCCTCTCTCCCCTCTCCCACATTCTTCCGGCTCTAATCGATTTTCAGCAACAGGACGCGCGGTCGGATACAAAATACACTGCGTGTTATCGCGTTACGTCAAAGCATCAAAGCGCCTCTGAAATTATACGGAGAATCGAAACGCTTGGAGGTCGCCGCGGCTGGACTTTCTCGCGACGGATGCAAGGACTCCGCTGAGAAAACGAAAAACACGAAAGGATAGAACGGGCAGTAAAAAAAAAGGAGACGTTAATCTACATCTCTGGCGCGGCCTTCGGCCGCGTTGACGAGCGGTTGTGGAAGCGACGAAGGTGAAGTGAGGAGGTGAAAAGGTGAGAAGCGATGTGAGGTAAGGTAAGGTACGGTAAAAGCCGATTGAGCTCTAATCCGCGACGCGTGAGCCGCGGACGAGGAAGTCGCGGCGAAGAAAGTTAATTCGCGATTGTCCGGCGTGGCATCGCGTCGCGCCGCTGTGACTAACTCACACTCCACGACGAGGGACTGGTTTTTCCCTTCCAGCGCTCGTCGCCCTCGTAAATGTCTCTTTCTCCCTCCTGCGGACGAAGCGGAATGCGTGTTGCGAGGAATAAGAAAGTTTCGACGCTGATTACGGTACCGGAGCCGGCACGCCGCGAATCGCTCCGGAAACGCCACGCAGACGATTAACCCCGAGTCTCGGCACCGAGCCATCGGTTATTCACCAGAGGAAACGCGAACCAGTCGAGATTCTGTGACTGTAGACGCCACGGGAATGTCTTGAGAATATCTTATCGCCATGTTTTCAGATCCGAATGGTTGATTGCTAACAAAATTATTAGGTCGACATATAAGTAGGGATGTTGTGATACCGTGAAAGTATCGAAACTAATATCGAAACCAGTGTCTAGATCAAGAGTGTCGATATTATTAGCGATATCAGTATCAGATAAAAAATGTCAATACCGATACTGGCTTCGAAATTTGAAAAAAAATTTTTTTATTTGAAATTAGAGGAAATATAAACATCAGGGAAGTGTTTGTCTTGTAAGCTACTTTTAAGGATCTCGTATGTTTATGTATAACAAGCTTATTATAAGGTAAAGATACTTCTACCTTCTGCACTAGACTTTCTACACGTTGTGATGTAAAAACCTTTTAAAGAATGCATTAAGGCTCCAATGTCCTCGCTATGTCTGTCCTTGTTTGGTGACGTCAGAAGCGAGAAATCGCAGGTCAAAAATTATTGTGGTATACGTGGAAACAAAGCAATATGCGCGCAAAGTGACACACTCGTGACGGACTCCGCACACTTGTAAAAATACCCGGATGCTTTCCTTTTACTTCTATAATATATACATAACCATAAAATTAATGTAACAGGAAGCATGAGAAAAGATAGATTTAAAACGCGTACAATGCGAGAGAAATATAATTATTTTCGGGAACAACAATATCCATTTTTCCATTTTAACCACACAAATAGTCAAGAGAATTATTTTCCTAATAAGTGTTATCACACTGTCAATGATAACAATTTTACGTGTTGGTACTACTATTTTTGTCGTTAAAATAAAAAAGATATTATTGTCTCCGAAAATAAATATATTTTCCTCTCAATATAAGTAGCATTAAGTTACTCTAATTTTCATAAAGCAAAAATACATATCTTGAAGATCGAGTGAGTAAAAAAATACAAGAAAAATCATCGAAACATAGTAGTACTGATATGAGTACCAATTGAAGGAAAATACGAAATATCGATACAAAAATTACAAAAATATGGTATTGATAGAAAAATACAAAAACACAAAAACGATACAAAAATACGAAAATACGGTATTGATAGAAAAAGATCGATACCAGTATTGTATCGGTAGTATCATATCTCAATATAAATCTGAAATATTCTGAATTTTTCCTATTTTTTGGCGAAGCGATATGTTTCTTTTTTATCGTCATATTTTCAAAGAAGGAAATGACTTAATGTGTAACGAATCTTGATAAAACGAGCACGTTCGGTTTAATAGCGAGCGCTATAATAAAACTCGGGGTAATGAACTCGCTTAGAGCGTTTTGAATATATAGACTACACGTGTGTACGGATTGTATGTTAAATGCGCAGCTTGTCCTAGGCAAGGCGCACTTTCTCTCGCGCTCGGATACTAAAGGCCAATCTGAGAAGGATGCTGGTCGTTTCATGGTCGTGACATCGGTATTAGCATACAGATACCAGCTGCCCCGTATTTCTTTTTGTCTTGACGGTTTGACCGGCGCGCAATGGATTATTCCACGACGAAAATGCCGAGGCGGCGAATTCGTTACTTACAATCCGCCGAGACCGATCGAGCATCGATCCCTGAAAATCGAAATCAGGGATTTCCACTAAAAGATGAAGCAAAAATAAAGAAAATCTGCCGCCCTCCTCGGTTTCGAGCGAACGCCGACGGAACCGTTTAATTCGCCGGGGCTAATTAAGCCGACACTTCGCGCGAAGATCACCGCGTGTACCTAAGGTTCATCCATTTCCACGTGTTTACAGACGCGCGGCGCCGCGCATTATGTCGCCCAGAGCGCGACGTTGAAACTACACACACACGTCGGCCGTGGCGCGTCGCGCCGCGCCGCTACTCCGCTATTCTTCCGTAATTGCATCTCGCGCAACCCGCGCCACCATTAATTTTTGTACCGTTCCCTTTTCCCTCCCCGCGGCCACCGACGACGAAGAGAAGCCGGCGCGAATCCCTCATATTCAACGCGCGTCTCTCCCACACGAGAGATCGCGTTTCCGCGTCGCTCGCTCGCTCGCTCGTTCGCGGCCATCGTTCTAATAATTACTCCCCGGGATCATATTTTCCGCTCATGAAACCCGTCGCGCGCGCCTCCGCTTCTGCGTCGCGGAAAAGTGCATCTCGCCGGGGTACGGTGAAAGCACGGGTCCTCCTCCTCCTCCGCCCCCTAGATCGCAAACGGCCAGGGGAACGCTCCCGCGGGCCCTCTCACTTTCGCTCTCTGGAGAAAGTCCGGCCGCCCCGTCGCCGTCCCTCTTCACCTCCTCTTCCTCCCTCCGCGGTCTCCTTTGCGCCCCTCCCCCCCCCCACCCCGTACTTCGTAAAAGCGCTCGCATTGCACTCGCCTCGGCGACCAGAACACTCCGGTGCACGCTGTTGCGAAGCCCTCTGGTTCTCCTCGTCCCTCCTATATCCTCCCCCCCCC